GCTGGATGACCTTGGGCAAGCCATAGTTCTGTCCAGGTGTCATTTCGTAGGAAAAAGAGGTGCAGAAGCTCATTAGCATAACTCATTTGCATATGCCACACCCCCTGACAGAAGGCAACACCCACCGCTCAGGTTCCACTGGACTGTTTTGGATTGCTAGCTATTTGGGGTGGGGGGAACGTGCAGATCTGTCCTCGCAGAGGAGGGAGAGCTTGTACCTGAATAAAACTTGGTCTTAAAGGTGCCACGGGACTGTTTTGGACCGGTGGGAACTGTGCAACTTACCTGAGGGCTGCTGGGAGCAGGGGGTGAGGTTTGTTGCATGTGCCCGCCCCCTGGCCTCTTTGCTGCCAGAGCTCTGCTCCTGTACGCTCCTGCAGGAAACGACCCCTGGTTCTGTCAAAGCTGTCCTTGAAAGAGCAAGTATTGAAAGAGCTCTCTCAGCCCGGCCTACCTCACAGGGTGTCTGTTGTGGGGAGGGGAAAGGAAAGGAGTTTGTAAGCTGCTCTGAGACTCCTTTGGGTAGTGAAGGGCGGGGTATAAATCCAATCTCTTCTTCTTCTCAACACATTGTCTCCTGTCTAATTCCATTCCCCGTACTGTTTATAAAACGTCTGATGCTTTTTGAGGGGTACGGTTTTCGTAACCTTTGTCCCGCCGCCCTGTTTATTAGACAGCTCAAGATATCACGCTTGTTTACTTGCATCGTTTTGGGTTGTGCAGTCTGCCTTAAGTCTCAGTGAGAAACACTGAGTTATATAAATAAATGTAACTGAAAGAAAATAGTGGCATGCACCTATGAGATTTCTGCCTGTCAGGTTACAACAGGAGGCAACTAACCGCATCCCTGGTTGTCGGTCTGCCTTTCCTTCCTCTCCCCACCTGTACAGCCTCTGCAACTCCATCTTTGTTACAGGACGGAGCTGACCTTCCATTGCCTTTTCTGTGAGGAGAGCCAAGCCACTCCCGAGACGACTTCTTCTTCTTCTTCTCCTCCCTCTTCTCCTCCTCCTCCTCCTCTCTCTCTCTCTCCCTCCCCCCCCCTCTCTCTCTGTCTCTCTAACATAAGGTAAAAGGTAAAGGTTCCCTTGCTCGAAAGCCAGTCGAATCCGACTCTAGGGTTGCGGTGCTCATCTCCGTTTCAAAGCCGAAGAGCCAGCGCTGTCCGAAGACATTTCCGTGGTCATGTGGCCGGCTTCACTAAACACCAAGGCGCACGGAACGCTGTTCCCTTCCCACCCAAGTGGTACCTATTTACCTACTTGCAATTCCTTGCTTTCAAACTGCTAGGCTGGCAGGAGCTGGAACTAGAGATGGGAGCTCACTCCGTCTTGCGGCACCCGGGTCTCGAACTGCTGAACTACCGACCTTCCACAGCCTGCAGTTCAGCGTCTTAACCACTTGAGCCACTGCAGCTCCTCTTAAGAACATAAGAGAAGCCCACATTGAATTAGGCCAATGGCCCATCCAGTCCAACACTGTGTCACAACACAGTGGCCAAAAACACCAGGTGCCATCAGGAGGTCCAGCAGTGAGGCCAGGACACTAGAAGCCCTCCCACTGTTCCCCTCCCCAAGCACCAGGAAGACAGAGCACCCTTTGCCCCACACATAAGAACATAAGAGAAGCCAATGTTGGGTCAGGCCAATGGCCCATCCAGTCCAACACTGTGTCACAACACAGTGGCCAAAAACACCAGGTGCCATCAGGAGGTCCAGCAGTGAGGCCAGGACACTAGAAGCCCTCCCACTGTTCCCCTCCCCAAGCACCAGGAAGACAGAGCACCCTTTGCCCCACACATAAGAACATAAGAGAAGCCAATGTTGGATCAGGCCAATGGCCCATCCAGTCCAACCCTCTGTGTCACACAGTGGCCCCAAAATACCCGGTGCCCTCAGGAGGCCCAGCAGTGGGGCTTGTTAGCAGCTCTTCTCTAGGAAGCCTGATTCGTTTTCCCCTCACCACCAGACGCCCGGTGCGAGATGGCCTGGCTCACCTCAATGTTTGGGACAGCTCCCTTAACGATTTCTTGCCTGGTTGCCAGCAATTGGGATGCACGATGCTTAGTTTTAGCCACCCATCTCCGTCTCAAGGTCCCGCTAAGTTTCGCTGTGCGTGTGTGTGTTCGAGACCCAGCAGATTGGGAGTATGTAGCCTGCTATTTCTGGAAGTTTGATCTCTGCTTCTTAAAATCTCCTTGTAAGCAAAGAAGGAGCTTGCATATTGTTTCCTTGGGGTTTCTGCAAACCTGGAGCTCCTGGCGAGAGCCCCAGACACGAGCCTGGGACTGACATTCCCACCATTCACCGAGCCGTTCCTGCCCCACCTGTCGTTTGAACCATGAACGCCACCCAGACTTCTTTTGTCCACCAGTCCAGTTTTTAATAATACTCTCGAGCAACCCCTAGCTAGTGTTACAGATACACACAGAACGCCACGGCCCAGCCCCACGACACTCCTTTATCTCTTCCTGGCAGAGTTGCATTGGGGGGCAGCTACCAGCGCCATGGGAGACAGATCGTGTTCGTTTTGACTCTTTTCTACTGCTACAGACAGAGGCCGGGAGCACCTTAAAGACTAACACAATTTGTGGCAGGGGAGGAGCTTTCGTGAGTCACCGCTCACACCTTCAGATACGGCTAGAATGTGAGTCTATCCGTCCTTATATTTTGGAGAGTGGAGTGTCGAGATGGCCTGGCTCACCTCAATGTTTGAGACAGCTCGCTTAACGATTTCTTGCCCGGTCGCCAGCAATTAGGATGCTTAGTTTTAGCCACGCATCTCCATATCAAGGTCCAGCTAAGTTTCGCTGTGCGTGTGTGTGTTCGAGACCCAGCAGATTGGGAGTATGTGGCCTGCTATTTCTGTAAGCTTGATCACTGCTTGTTAAAATCTCCTTGTAAGCAAACGAGGAGCTTGCATATTGTTTCCTTGGAGTTTCTGCGAACCCGGAGCTCCTGGCGAGAGCCCCAGACATGAGCCTGGGTCCAACATTCCCACCATTCACCGAGCCATTCCTGCCCCACCTGTCGTTAGAACCATGAACGCCACCCAGACTTCTTTTGTCCACCAGTCCAGTTTTTAATAATACTCTCGAGCAACCCCTAGCTAGTGTTACAGATACACACAGAACGCCACGGCCCAGCCCCACGACACTCCTTTATCTCTTCCTGGCAGAGTTGCATTGGGGGGCAGCTACCAGCGCCATGGGAGACAGATCGTGTTCGTTTTGACTCTTTTCTACTGCTACAGACAGAGTCCGGGAGCACCTTAAAGACTAACACAATTTGTGGCAGGGGAGGAGCTTTCATGAGTCACACGGCTCACGTCTTCAGGTCCAGCTGGAATGTGAGTCTCTCCGTCCTTATATTTTGGAGAGTGGAGTGATTTCAGATGCCAAATGACAACAAGAGGTGAATGACTGGATTGGGTGTGACATGCAGGGGGGGGGCAGGCGTGGAGAAATCAGCACTGGTGATGGGACAGGAAACCGAGGTCTCGGTTAAGTCCAGGTGGATGCATTGTCTTGAGCTTCACTATCAGCTGCAATTCAGCAGTCTCTCTTTCTCATCTCCCTTTGAAACGCCTACTAACCCTCTGCATATCACACCTAACCCCACCAAGCCCGCTATTTTCATCTGCCTGCTAATGTCATTCGGCGTCTGAAATCACTCCCCTCTCCAAGATAGGACAGACGGACTCCCACTCTTGCTGTATCTGAAGAAGTGAACAGTGACTCACAAAAGCTCCTCCCCTTCCTCAAACATTGTTTGTCTTTCAGGTGCTCCTGGACTCTTGCTCTTTTCTACAGGAGTCATACACAAAGACTGGCTTCAAATCTATAAGGAACTAATTTTTTGAAAACCAAAACCCTAATTTCAATAAAGCCACCCTCTTTCTCAGCTCAGGGGAATCTGCTAGGCTAGAAGCTCGTGCCAGTGAACCAGCTGTGTCTTGCCCAGGTCTGTGCTGTGGCACACCAGCCTTGGCCAAGGGACCTTGGCAGCACCTGAAAAGTCATAAACACAACCAGAGCGCACGAGTCGGGCATCGCTCCAGAAGGAAATCCGGGCTCCCTTTCACCGCAGGACGGCAGAACTGCCCTGCCCCAGGGAAGCAGGCCCTGAAGGCGGATCGAGGAAGCGGAACGGACAGGCGACACGGGCTTCTTGCTCAAGCCAGGGATCCAGAGAGGCCTCTGCGATAGGGCGGCACAGGAGGACCACGCAGAACAAGAGGATCTATCGAAGACCCCACCGACGACTACATGGCGGCGGCTGCTTCCAGTGGGCCAAAAAGGCAGGTAAAAGGTAAAGGTTCCCCTTGCTCGAAAGCCAGTCGAATCTGACTCCAGGGGGCGGTGCTCATCTCCGTTTCCAAGCCAAAGAGCCAGCGCTGTCCGAAGACTTCTCTACGGTCACGTGGCCGGCATGGCTCAACGTCGGGGTGCACGGAAAGCTGTTCCCTTCCCACCGAAGTGGTATCTATTTATCTACTTGCAATTTCTTGCTTTCGAACTGCTAGGATGGGAGGAGCCGGGGCCAGAGACGGGAGCTCCCTCCGTCATGCGGCACACTCGGGTCTCGAACTGCCGAGCCACCAACCTTCCAGTCTGCAGCTCAGCGTCTTAACCTCTGAGCCACCGCGGCCAAAAAGGCAGAGCTGGAAAATCCCCCCCACGCCATCCTGGCAGCGGAGAACACAGCTCTCCTCCGCTTTCCTCACGCCTCCTGCGTCAGCCAAGGAGAAATGGCACCCCTCCACTCTTCCCGCCCCCACCCACTCTCTGCCGGCAGCACGTCAGACTGGGAGAAGCAGCTTGAGACGCCCGGGGGTCTCCACGGTGGAGGGGATGCCGTGGCTTGTCGTCTTGCGTGTCAGAGAAAGACGCCTCCGGCAGCCGTCCAGGTTCCCAAGAGAGGCAGGACGGAGTAGCTGGCTTGCGTCGGGAGACCTTTTGTGGATGGACGCTGCAGGCTGAGGAAACTGGCAGGCCCCGCCCCCCCCCCCCCCCAGGAACCCAGTCAGGTCTGACTTCTGCGTGCCCCCATCAGGAGAGCTGGGGAGAAATCTACGGGGCCGGGAAGGAACCAAGTCAGGAGTTAATTGGAGAGAACGGGGTGGGGTGGGGGGCTGAACGAAGGCACCAGAGGCTCAGAGCAGGAAGGGCGTGTGGGCTGTTGGGAGAGGTCCCGCCACGGGCCAGTCCCTCCATCCCTGCCAACGCCACCCTCTCCTCTCCCTGTGGGGGGAATAACGTTAATCACGCTGCATAGGATGCGTTCATGCGGAAGAAAGGAAGGGGGCCTGAACGCTTTGGGAGAGGTCGTCCAGGATCCACCCTGGCTTCCGCTTCCCCTCCCCGGTTACTCGGCTCTTCTTTTTCTTACAGCAGAGGCACAGAATTGGGCCGTGGGGGGCAGTCTGAAAGCGTCGGGGGGGGGTTGCCCCTCTCTGCAGACTCGCGGCCCCCTCCCCGGGCTGCCAAGTCTGTCGAGAGCCCCCCTGGATAAGCTGGTGGTGCGGCAGCCACGGCCGCCTGGCGCCCCCGTTTCCTGCCCAGACGCGTCTCTTGAGTTCCTTCCAGGATGACGGCGGTGGAGCGCCCATCCCGAACACTTTACAGTTTCTTGTTCTGGGGCCTCACCCTGGGGAAGAGCTGAGAAGGAGGAGGAGAGAGAGAGAGAAATAGGTTGGGTTTTCCCCTGAACACCCCCGCCTAGCAGGCAGAGAAAGGAGAACACCAGAAATTCCCACGGCCACGTTGCCCAAGACAGCCTTGCTGCTGGCTAACTGCATAAACAGAGCCTCACCGAGGGCCAGGAGTTTTCACGCTGTTGCCACCCTTGCGGTGCAAAAAGCTCCCAATCTACAGAATCCAAAGTGACAAGACCTAGCAGCCATGATGTTCCCCCTAAGCTGTAGAGTCTTGTGAGAAAAAATTCTACTTTGTGAGCTACCGGCATTAAAGTTGTGAGCAAGTGATTTGGCTGCTGCATAAATTAGTTTGCTCTGGAGCCCTCCTTCCTGAGCTCAGGCAAAAATGTGTGAGCTGGAGGCTAAAAAACTGTGAGCTAGCTCACAGTAATTCAGCTTAGAGGGAACACTGGCCATGACTCCCTAAACGGCTTTGAAAAGGAATAAGACATATTCGTGGATGGCGAAATGTGAAGCCTCCATGTTCAGTAGCAGTGTACCCCTAAATGAGAGTGGCTGGCAAGGTGGAGAGGAGATTGGATTTATACCTTGCCCTTCACTACCTGAAGGAGTCTCAGGGTGGCTCACAAACTCCTTTCCCTTCCCCGCAACAGACACCCCTGTGAGGTAGGCGGGGCTGAGAGAGCTCGTTCGAGGACTGCTCTTGAGACAACAGCTCTGAGAAAGCTGTGGCCTGCCCAAGGTCACACCAGCAGCTGCAAGAGGAGGAGTGGGGAATCAAACCCGGTTCTCCCAGATTAGAGTCCGCACACTTAACCACGACACCAAGCTACACCAAGGGGCAACAGGGAGAGGCTTTAGCCTATATGCCTAGCTTGTGGGGTGGGGTTCCCAGTGGCGTCCGGCAGGCCACTTTAAGAACAGAATCCTGGCCTAGAGAGGGGCTCAGTGGAAAAGCCTCTGCTTGGCATGCAGAAGGTCCCGGGTTCAGTCCCCGGCATCTCCAATTGAAAAGGACCAGGCAGGAGGTGATGGGAAAGACCTCCGCTTGAGACCCTGGGGAGCTGTAAAGAGGGGCCGTGGCTCAGTGGAAGAGCCTCTGCCTGGCATGCAGAAGGCCCCAGGTTCAATCCCTGGCATCTCCAGTTAAAAAGGGCCAGGCAGGAGGGGATGGAAAAAGACCTCCGCCTGAGACCCTGGGGAGCTGTAAAGAGGGGCCGTGGCTCAGTGGAAGAGGGTCTGCCTGGCATGCAGAAGGTCCCAGGTTCAGTCCCTGGCATCTCCAGTTAAAAGGACCTGGCAGGAGGTGATGGGAAAGACCTTGGCCTGAGACCCTGGCTCAGTGGCA